TGAGAATATGACATGGTTACATGCCTCTTTGTAGCAAGATCACCACAACATTATTCGTGTTTATGTTTTGTCATATATATATTCTATTGTGCATCGTTTTAGCTTTTACTTTTCAGAACTCTTACAATAAAAATAAAAAAAACTTTGTTCTACAGACAATTCAAACAAATTTTTACCATTCAAAATCATTCATTGATTATTTATATTTATATGCATCAATAGTGCAGTCTATGGCCTTTTTAGTTTTTGAATCACTAAGCATTTTGATTAGGAGTCACATTTTTTTTTTTTACACTATTCAGATTCGGACAATTGTCCTTATTTTTGTCGTTGTTATGACGACATTTCGACTGTTGTGTCTTCCGGCCTTCATCAGGTGTATATCTGTTATGGGACCTTACTCATAATAACATAATGGACTATGCCATACGTAATAAATACTGCGCCTCAAGAGGAAGCAGAGAGTTCAGTCCGAAGTCAGGCGACCGGCTGATCGGCTGATCGACTGATCGACTGAACTCTCTTCCTTCGGGCGGGGAGGAACCCAAACGAGGCTACGCTGAAGGGCGGAGTCTCTTTCGGGGAGGTAAACCGACCCTGAACCCGTTTATACGGGTTCAATGGGCATATTTTGGCCGAGCCCATGGGCTCGGAGATTCCACGTTAAACTGGTCTTGTGCCACATGATGCTCTCGTGGGGGGGGGGTGACTAAATACCGTTCAGTCTGAAGTCTGGAGTGAAGTCCGTCAGGAGTCTGTCAGTCAGTAAGAGCGAGCGAGTCAGTCAGTCGATTCAGAGGCATTCCAAAACAGAGTCGCGTTCAGACAATTACTACTAAACCTGATTGTTCGTACTAACACTTTCTACTTCTCTGTATATATTCATGTTTGTAATATATCTGTGTTATTCCATATCCGTATTCGAGTTCTTCTTTATTGGTTCTACCTTGGACTATCAACGTGGTACAAGGAACCGGACCATAACATTATCAATCTGGGTAACCTACTGGGTATTCTGAATTGAACCCTTTATTTCGTTTCTGGGGATCGACTGTTTTTATTCTATTGCCCATGTCTAGGGATACATCATCTAGTTCTTATTTTTAATACTGCTCTGTAGTTGCTCGTCTGTTTCTGTTGAGTGCAATCTAAACACTACTTGGCTCAATGCTGTAATCCAAACCGCCCAAAACATTGTGATAAAAGCAACAAACATGAGGACAATACACCGAATATAAATTGTGTAAATAATTTCTCACCCTAGAAATTCAAACAGAAAACGCACATTTCATTAAATCATCTCCTCCTTTTGGGTTGCTACCATGTAAATATACGTTAAGAATAAGAAAGAATGGCATTCTTGGACCTTTGTGACCTCAAAAAAAAAAAATGAAGTGTCAAAAAGATGGTTTTTCCCTTGAAATCACTCTTATTATTATTGTTATCATAATATTTCGGTTCCAGCCTTCATCAGGTGTATATCTGTTGTAGCATACCTACGGACGATAATGGGTGTGTCCCCATTCACGTAAATACAACAGTAAAAACTGTATGTTGGTCTACAGTTGGAGATTCGTCTCCAACTGTGCCGATAAAAATCTCTGCCTCCAGCCAGAGAAGATTCCCAAACGAAGCTATGTCGAAGGGCAGAGTCTCGTCTCGGGAAACAGCTACCCGACCCCGTTTTATATTGGTATACGGGCTCGGATGCCCCACATTAAATTCGACCTTGTGCCACATCTGACTGCGTGGAGAGGTTAGTATTTATCCTGCAGCTGGAGATTCATTGTGGAATTTTCTTGACTTACTTCTAGCAGTTGACTACTTCTACTACGCCCCGCTGGCGAATCTTATATGCGATGTTCTTGTCCTAAGCGTTATCGTTCCTTACCAATCTTCGTGGGATTATTCTATTCTGTAAGCTTCCCTAGGTTACAGCAATATCAATTTAGGGTAACCTAAATATTTTATATCATTTAACCCCAAGAAAGACAATATTGCCACTAAAACACAAAGAGTCCCTGAGTGTGACATAATATGAAAAAACGAAAAACATTATTAAGGAGAGAGGACAATAAAAGAACAAGCAGCAAGAAGATAGAAAATAACGACTGACATTGCATTTAAACTTTTGAACATCAAACTTGACTGGAAAGCTAAATGTCGAGAGAGTGTTCCACAAACGAGAAGTGCGAAAGAAGGAACTGTTAACATAGAACTTACGGTTACATCAATTCATTTCGACTGTAAAAGAATGAGAGGTAGCTGCCAGTCTAGTCGTATGTTTAAATTCATAAAGTCTAGGTACCATAGAGGAATGTTTATCGGAAAATAGCCATGAAATGTTGTTATGTAAATCGTTGATTTATGGTGATAATTCTCCATCCCAGAAATTTAGAGAGAAATGGTCAAATCATTGAGGATTAATGTGATATACCAGCGTTCGGGAAAACTCCAAAAATTGGCACAGACATGACATTCATATACAAATGTAGAGTCCGAAAGCTGGTTCCACCGGCCTTATCAATCAAGGCCAGTTCTGGGAGAACACAGAGAGTAGAGGTATAAGCAAGACACGCCCTCGTGAAGGAACGGATTCTAGACAATCACTGGAAAAAATGAATAGTAAATAATGATAACTCCTCATCCCAGAAATTCAGACTTAAAGATAATTCTTCATTTGACTAGCACAACAGAATTACGGAGAAAGAGCCTTACGAAAAAACAAAAACCACATCACTTGAAGACTTCCAACATAAGCAACGATAAAACTGTGTAGCATATGTTAATATCAGATCATTGCAAATGGCCGTTCTCGATTTTTATGGTTAATATAAAATGACCTTTAATTGTCACTGGTTTTTCTTTTGTTGCCGATTTCTGGTGTGTTCTAGATTAAAACCTTGCATCGTTCAGTTGCATGGCGGATTTTGTTGAATGTTGACGTTTTGTCTACAGATGAATGCCTTAAAAATAGGGGATGAAAAGTTGCCCTTTCGCCATATTATGCTCTGTGAATTTCGGAAAAGATTAAGCGTCGGAACTGCGGCAGAAAACAATCAAAAAGTTTCATCAGAGTGATTTTAATCTAAACGATTAACAACGCTCCGGGTAACATTACGATATCGGTAAAAACGCTCTGCTTACCATCGTGGTGAATAAAACAGAAGAGATTGCTAAGAGTTTGAAAATCGATATCTCAGCTGCCCTTCGCCATTTGAAAAGACTTGGAGTCGTTTCCAAACTCGACACGTGAGAGCCACTTTTTTTGATAGAACAGATCAAGCTCGTAATTATTTACACTACTTACATTGTTTGGACTGTTGTACTAATCATCGCTGCTATATTCACGACGTTTCGGCCGTTGTACGAAGCGACCTTCTTCAGGGTCTGTCTATATTTCAGAGATAAGGTATTGTAATTGTTTACACTATTTACATTGTTCGGACTGTTGTCCTCATCTTCGCTACAATATTCACGACGTTTCGGCCGTTGTACGCACCAGCCTTCTTCAGGATTTGTTGAAATTTCATATATGACGTATTGTAATTATTTACGCTATTTATAATACTCGGACTGTTGTCCTCATCCTCGCTGCCATATTCACGACGTTTCGGCTGTTGTACGCACCGACCTACTTCAGGATCTGTTTATATTTCAGAAAAGAGGTATTGTAATTATTTACATTGTTCGGACTGTTTTCCTATTTTTTGTTGTCATATTCACGACGTTTCCGGCCTTCTTCAGAGGATATGTCTGAATTTCGAACTGAGCCCAGAATAGTCAATCTGCATGTTGCCGTTTCCGAAGATTGGTTCGATGACGTTTGTGTCCTTGAGAACACATCTCCCAGTGGATAAAAGCGTTGACTGAATACAGTAACTTGTGGATTCAATACCTCGCCACAGCAGAGGTGAACAAAAACTTGGAGAGATGAATTAAAGATGGATAACTAATACTGAGACATCCAGAAGAGGTATGGCATGTGGAACTAGAAAAATATACTCTGGTGGACGAAAATGCGCAGGTTATGATAACATTCGACGCAAAATGAGTTGGAAATAATCCTGTGAATTTGAAATTCCCGTGGCGAAAGCCGGCTTGCATCCAGTGAAGGTTTCGCTGTCCTTTTGGCGAGCCGGCCAAACAAGAACTGCAATGAATTAGTGCGACCAAACCAGAAATTTCAATGCGGCTATTCAAGAAAAAACGGCCAATTTTGGTAAATCGAAAAGGCGCCATTTTCTACGACGACAACGAAAGAGAGCATGTTGCAAAACGAAACTTGCAGAAGAATTCAAATGGGAAACACTCCAACACCCACCGTATTCTTCTAGCTTGTCTTCTTCGGATTTTTTTCGCAATAATATTCACGCTGTACAAGGCGCAAGAGCCACTCGAGGTAGAGGGTTACAGAGTAAAAGGCGCCACTCCAAGTAAGGAGATAACACCACCAAGGTGCAAGGACCAACGCAAGCGAAAGAGTAGAAGACTTTAGAAGGATCCGGAAACTCAATACTAACCAGGATAAACAAGCGATAAACCTCTACTCCTGTTCAAAAGACCATAGAAGAGTGTGAACGGGGCGATAGGCGAACCTATCTACTCCTATTTCATTTGTTCCGGTCTCTACGGAATCATTTAAATAACATAAGATTTTGACTCCTTATAGTCAATCGTAAGCTGCCTTACAACGTTGTTCCAACAAAAAACATGGAGTTTTTTGGGTTTTTTTTATGAAAATGGTCTCAACAAGCTTGTAGAACGATGTGCGACAGTTGTTAAAAATAATGGAGACTATTTACTTGACTAATTCTTTTTTCTTTTTTTTTCTTTTTTTGTATGCAAGCTTTTGGAAATTTTGCAATAAACTAATAGAAGTGAAAATAAGGTGTTCACCTTCCACACTATCTTAAACAAAAGGTTAGGAAGGAAACTCCCATCAGTACTAGAATAAGGGATAACAGTGGACTTGAGATGTCGAATTTAACTGAAAAATCTACGGCCATATCCCGTTGAAACACCGGTTTGCGGACGTCACCAAAATGAAGCAACGTCGAGCCTGGGCAGTACCGAGATGGGTGACCCCTTGGGAATACCAGATGCTGTAAGCCTGGATGTGCAGGTGGGGTAATGAATAACATCTTCGTTAAATTCACTTATCAGGTGCTCTAAGCCTGTATGTGCCAGTAGTATAAAGGACTTCCGACTATATCATATTGAAACACCGGTCCCCGAACGATCTCCAAAGTTAAGCAACGTCGAGCCTGGTCAGTATCTAGATGGGTAACCACTTGAGAATATCAAGTGCGCTAAGCATGTATAAGCCGGTGGTATAAAGGGCATACGACCATCTTATATTGAATACCCGGTTCCCCTATGATCACCAAAGTTAAGCCACGTCGAGCCTGGTCAGTATCTAGATGGGTGACCACTTGAGAATATCAGGTACTCTAAGCATCTATGTGCAAGTGTCATAAAGGAATTACGAACATATCATATTGAAACACCGGTTACCGTACGATCACCAAAGTTAAGCAACGTCGAGCCTAGTCAGTACCTAGATCGGTGACCGTTTGGGAATACCAAGGGCTGTAAGCTAAGATGTGCAGATAGTGTAATGGGTAATGGCTTGGAATTGTTAATTGGAGAAACGAGTTCGAATTCCAGTTGGGTTCGTTATATTCACGTATGCGCAAATACTCTTGGGAAAGGTAAGAATCCACCTTCAACACCCAACTATGGGGTAATTAGTAAGATTTGTATCACTAAATCATTATTATCTCCCCTCCCACCAAAAACCTTATAATCTAAAAAGATAATTTCTGGCTTTAAATAACCTGCAAAGGGTTGATAAACCGTAGAAAACGAATCAATCAAATTTTTAAGTGTTTTAAGAAAAATATTTTATACATTTCAACTGACATTAACGCTTACGGTTCGGTCATTGAATACCAAATGTTTCCTTATAAGGAAACGGTTAGTTTCATTATTACCCTCATGTTAATAACGAAATCAGAGAAATTCGAACTTAACACTTTATTTAATCTCCCGTATAAGATTGTTCCCAACCCGTTGTACATATCTAGGGATATCTCGTCTTGCTTTATCTTAGTACTGCCCAGTTATTACTGACCTAGATTACTGTCCCGTGGCAATCGGGAGTTCCTTTCCCTGGGTCGAGTAGGACGGTCTTAGACTCAGTGGGCGAGCAATAAATGAGCAAATACCAGGTGAAAGCATAAACTTCCTTTTGGATCACAGTGGCTTGTCCAGCAGCTACAGACCACATGAATCATTTTTTCCGGGTGTACTAGCATGATAACTCCGATCACAACAGATGCCAATTTGTGTCTGCTCGTAATGATTGTAAACGTGTAGAGGGAGTCATCGTTTAGCCGAGTGCGCCTTACCGCTTGGCCACGAAGAAACAGACGGTCAGGAGAAAAAACCAATTTGCGCTCTTCGGCAAGAATCGAACATCGGGAAAGCGGATTCGATTCCTACCGAAGAGCGCATTTTTTTTAACATCTCTCGAACATTCAGGTCGGTAGGTGAAAATAAATAAATATACGGTTTAATATATTAATGAAGCGTCTACTTAAATACGAGTATCCACTGATAACGTTTACAGAGATAAAAAAATATGTCGGATTAATAAAAATCCATCCTAATATATATATACATATATAATATGTGTGTGTGTGTCTTTGTGTTTAATATTATTATCAGTCTTATATAAAAGCCATGTTGACTTTAGCATTGGACCCTGAGCTTTTAGCTTTTTAAAGTTTTAACTTCAGAGAGAAAGAGTGAAAACTCGCGTGCGCGCACACACAAAGAAGAAAAAGTGAACCTAACAACAATAAAAAGCGCATAAATTATTTTCTAACTTAAAATAAAAATAAAGAAAATGAGAAAATCGGCAGTCAATTGGAGATACCTCCTGACGAGGGGACCGAATGATTGTAAAAAAAAAAGTTCGTCTACGAACCTCTGGAGTCGGGGTGCTGAATATAACATCAATCAGCTAAGTGACAATTTTTGTATTTATATTTATCATATATATATATATATATATATATATATATATATATATTGTGTGTGTGTTTTGTTTAAATGTTATTTATGATGGATACTCATATTCGAGTAGGTCTTTCTCTAATTTTCTCTGTCTGATTAGTAAGCTAGTCCCGCAGGACTATCTCATTGTGAGTTCGTTACTCACGTGGTAACCCACATTTTTTAACAGACAAGTCGAGGTTTAAGACATTTCCCTTCAAGCTAAGAAACTGTTAGTTACCCATCATTCCCGTATACAGGAAGTGATGCAACTTGAGCACCAACCATATCCGATGACATGATGAGCTTTATCGATTTTGTACAACTGCTTTGTCTCTCTTCCCTGACATTATGCAAATAATCTTTAGTGCCGAACATATTTGGGGAATAAAGGATGGGTGACTATGAAATGGGTGGGACTGTACACTTCCGGGGCGGGGGAATAATTTATTGATTTCCATGGTTGGTATTCCAAGCATCGTTGGAAATATTAGCATTTTTCTAATGGCTTTGTTTGTCTTCTTTCAACCTCCTCTTGGATTCTATGTTTGTTTCTCTCTCTCTCTCTCTCTCTCTCTCTCTCTCTCTCTCTCTCCCTCTCCTTTTATTCCACTAACAACATAGTTTAGTCTGATTACAATATCTCCTTCCTTTCCTCACTCTTTTTTATTTTATTTCAAGTCTCATTTTAAATCCCTTAGTACGGACACCATTAAGTTGTTCAGAAAGTAACAACGTACTTTGGTACCGGAATATATATATATATATATAGATAATATTAGTGGAAAATATACATACATATGCAAAATATATAAATACCCATACATGTATATTTTCAGAAAAAAAATTTCCAAGAGGAAGAATCCAGGTAGAATTCAATGTCTAGGACAGAGTAATGATATAATAAAAAGGTTTAAACACTAATATTCCATGGTCATAATTTATTCCATTGGCATCGTAAATACGATCCAATTCATCAGACCTACAAATTCAAAAGGTCTGATGAATTGGATCGTATTTACGATGCCAATGGAATAAATTATGACCATGGAATATTAGTGTTTAAACCTTTTTATTATATATATATATATATATATATATTATAGTTTTACCTTAAGTGAACATTGAAGTCAACACTTAGAGGCGACAGGCTGTTTCATGCTAAACGGAATCGTCAGGCCGCCTGAATTCAAAAGAGTGATGTCCGCTTTCCACTTGTATTTATAGGCAAAAATAGAGTTTGCAATTTTAATCTGTAAATATATGGTCAGTATGCAGTGTGATGGATCGGGTCCAGAATCTGGTCAAAAGAAGAACGCAGAATCGTCGAAAGAAAAGGACAGTGGCAAAAGGTTTGCTTAATCTTGAAACCTTTGATGACCAAAAGGGGACAAAAAACAACGCAAAGACATGAAAGAGAATATAGGACACTACACAAAGAAATGAGGAACACATGCAGGCAGATTAAAGAGGAATGGCTCTACAACAAATATGAAAAATAGAAAGGATGAGTATTACAGATAAATCAGATACGCATAAAAAAATAAGAACTAACAGGACAAAAGAGATGCTCATCAACAGGATACATAAAACCCAAGGACGTTACGCTGATATCAGAGAAAGAGAAAGAAAAACTCTGCACTGGCCAAATTGAACAGAAGCAAAGCGGCAGGGCCAGACGTAATTGTAATAGAGCCGCAGGCAGCCTTAGATGACTTCGCACAGACAACATTACAGAAATAATAAATTAACTCTACTACAGTGGTGATATACTGGAAAAAGAACCCAAGTAGATCTATTTTCATAGCACTATTTAAGAAGCCAAGAGCAAACGAATGTGTACTCTATCGGACAATCAGCCTAATGAGCCATATAAGAAAACTTATCACCCGAATTCTAATGAATCTAATCAGTAGAAACAGATGGGAAATAGGACAAAAGCAGTGCGGGTTCGTTAAAGAGAGCTGAACAAGGAACACAATATTTATGCTCAGAATGATATCAGAGAGAGCAAAACAAATACAGAAAGACGTGTACCTGTGTTTTATAGATTATGAAAAGGCGTCCGATAAAGTATGCCACAAAGACCTGTTGCAACTGCTTAGCAACCTCGACATATTTGGGAAGGATATTAGAATAATCCAGAACCTATACTGGAAACAAACAACCTGCATACAGATAGAAAATGAGTTCAACAGATAAGGGGGTTGTAAGACAAGGATGTGTCTTTTCACCGGACTTATTCAACCATTCAGTAAGCCGATTCTGAGAGAATTAGAAATCCTACCAGGATTTTATTGGCGGACACAATCTTAAGAACATAAGAGATGACACAGTGCAAGAGACACAAAAAAAAAAAAACTACAAAAAACCCTACAGAAGGTAGTGAAGGAAGGCTAAAAGAAAAGATTAAATAACAACTGAAAGAAAACATAATTCCTGGTTGTTAGCAAAAAGGATCTGGCCAACATGCGAGTTACAAATCGGGGATACCGAAATCAAATAAGTAGAACAATTTAAATATCTAGGAAGAGTTTTAACAGAGGACGGAAAGTGCGACACTGAAATCATGATATTTGTCCTCCTGTCCAGAAGTGAATGCTGGGCAATTTCCTCAAAGATGAAGAAGAGACTTGAAGCAACAGAAATGTGGTTCTACAGAAGGATGCTGAGAATACCATGGTGTCTAAGGTACATAATGAGGAAAGAGGGCTTGGAAAATCGGATACTCACAAGATAGATTGAAGGCAATAGGGACAGAGGAAAACAATTTGAACAAATGAATGACAGAACAAAGTTTAGGAGAAATAACAAAAAGACAAAATTTATTAAGAGTTGCAAAGGACAGGAAATTGTGGAGTGCCACAATCGCTTGTGTCATTAAGGGACATGCGACATAAAGAAGAAGATGGAAGAAGCTATGAAAATCATAAGAAATCCAGTGCCAAATCCGACTATATTTGTTGATAATAGAGTTATGTTTTAATCGTTTCACCTTAGGTAAGTTTTGCAGGGATTGAAAGAGAATGAGAAGTTTCGGGTCAATAGAGGTCAATAAAGAAACAGGCTTTCTGAAGACAGAACATGACGATGTTTTTTTTATCATTTCACCTCCAAGCAAGGCAATAAAACCACTAAGATCGAAAGGGTTAGTGAGTTAGAGAATACGAGGAGGAGAAACACTATTGAGGAAAGTGAACAATAAAAAGACTTAAAGAATTAAAATTTCAATAAAAATTATTATTTTTGTGAAAGATTTACAAAAAATTATCTGAGGTGCTTTTTGTCCTACAAAACAACTTTTATATTTTACAACCCCCCCTCCCAAAAAAAAAACCGAGTCCAATGATAATTGCAATTAAATACTGAAACCAAAAAGAAACAACATGATTACATTTTTTGCTTATGATTTGATGCTATTGATAACATTTACATTGTATAAAATCAACCTAAAAATAATTTCGGATAAAAGAAACTTAGGTATGGACATGCACACATAAGCACATTCACTCAATTCTCATCCCACATATTTTTCTA